ATGATCCCTGCACTCTGTGCTGTATGCGCTCCTGACCCCTGCACCCTGTGCTGTATGCGCTCCTGACCCCTGCACCCTGTGCTGTATGCGCTCATGATCCCTGCACTCTGTGCTGTATGCGCTCCTGACCCCTGCACTCTGTGCTGTATGCGCTCCTGACCCCTGCACCCTGTGCTGTATGCGCTCATGATCCCTGCACTCTGTGCTGTATGCGCTCCTGACCCCTGCACCCTGTGCTGTATGCGCTCATGATCCCTGCACTCTGTGCTGTATGCCCTCCTGACCCCTGCATTCTGTGCTGTATGCGCTCATGATCCCTGCACTCTGTGCTATATGCCCTCCTGACCCATGATCTTTGTGCTGTATGCGCTCCTGACCCCTGCACTCTGTGCTGTATGCGCTCCTGATCCATGCCCTCATGACCCCTGCACTCTGTGATGTATGCCCTCATGACCCCTGCACCCTGTGCTCTATGCCCTCCTGACCCCTGCACTCTGTGCTGTATGCGCTCCTGATCCATGCCCTCATGACCCCTGCACTCTGTGATGTATGCCCTCCTGACCCCTGCACTCTGTGATGTATGCCCTCATGACCCCTGCACTCTGTGCTCTATGCCCTCCTGACCCCTGCACTCTGTGCTGTATGCGCTCCTGATCCAAGCCCTCATGACCCCTGCACTCTGTGATGTATGCCCTCATGACCCCTGCACTCTGTGCTGTATGCCCTCCTGACCCCTGCACTCTGTGCTGTATGCGCTCCTGATCCCTGCACTCTGTGCTGTATGCCCTCCTGACCCCTGCACTCTGTGCTGTTTGCGCTCCTGATCCCTGCACTCTGTGCTGTATGCGCTCCTGATCCCTGCACTCTGTGCTGTATGCGCTCCTGATCCCTGCACTCTGTGCTGTATGCGCTCCTGATCCCTGCACTCTGTGCTGTATGCGCTCCTGACCCACACTTTAAACATTAGGCACTTCTTACCCCTGCACGGTGTGTATTATGCATTCCTAAGCCCTGCACTCTGTGCATTATGCGCTTCTGACCTCTGCATTTGCAGCATTTCACACTTCCGACCCCTGCACTCCGGGTGCCCTACTCTCTGTGTTTTATGCACTTCTGGGTGTGGTTAAATGATGGAAATCTGGGAGTTTCGGGGTCTCCGGTACCCAAGTGAACCTGGAAGAGAAGATCAGGGGGTGGAGTTAATTGGAGTAATATGTATTCTTGTCCTTTCTGAATTGGCTCAGGGGCTTGTGGGGTTTAAAAATAAAATTTTCGGAACGTGTGGTTTCTACACCATTAAATGTTTAATGGAGTAACGTTTCTTCAATGTAGCTTCTACAAACATTGGTGAAAGAATGGGTCGCTCTCAGGAGCTCAGTGACTCCAAGCGTGGTCCCGTGATAGGTGGCCACCTGGGCAATAAGTCCATCCGTGACATTTCCTGGCTACTAAATATTCCACGCTCAACTGTTAGTGGGATTATAACAAAGTGGAAGCTACTGGGAACAACAGCCACTCAGCCACCAAGTGGTAGGCCACGTCACATGACAGGGCGGGGTCAGCGCATGCTGAAGCGCACAGTGCGCAGAAGTCGCCAACTGTCTGCAGAGTCAATAGCTAAAGACCTCCAAACTTGGTGTGGCCTTCAGATGAGCCCAACAACAGTGCGTAGAGAGCTTCATGGAATGGGTTTCCATGGCCGAGCAGCTGCATCCAAGCCTTCCATCACCAAGTGCATTGCAAAGTGTCGGATGCTGTGGTGTAAAGCACGCCGCCACTGGACTCTCTGGAGTGACCAATCACGCTTCTCTGTCTGGCAATCCGATGGACGTGTCTGGGTTTGGTGGTTGCCAGGAGAACTGTACTTGCCTGACTGCATTGTGCCAAGTGTAAAGTTTGGTGGAGGGGGGGATTATTATGGTGTGGGGTTGTTTTTCAGGGGTTGGGCTTGGCCCCCTAGTTTCAGTGAAGGGAACTCTTAAGGCGACATTTTGGACAATTTCATGCTCCTAACTTTGTGGGAAGAGTTTGGGGATGGCCCCTTCCTGTTCCAACATGACTGCCCACCAGTGCACAAAGCAAGGTCCATGAAGACATGGAGGAGCCAGTTTGGGGTGGAGGAACTTGACTGTCCTGCACAGAGTCCTGACCTCAACCCCATAGAACACCTTTGGGATGAATTAGAGCGGAGACTGCGAGCCAGGCCTCCTCCCCCGACATCAGTGCCTGACCTGACAAATGTGCTTCTGGAAGAATGGTCCAACCTTCCCATAGACACCCTCCTAAACCTTGTGGACGGCCTTCCCAGAAGAGTTGAAGCTGTTATAGCTGCAAAGGGCGGGGCCAACGCAATATTGAACCCTACGGACTAAGACTGGGGGGCCATTAAAGGTCATGTGTGTGGAAAGGGCGGAGCCAACTCAATATTGAACCCTACGGACTAAGACTGGGGGGCCATTAAAGGTCATGTGCGTGGGAAGGCCGGCAGCCTAATAGTTTTGACAATATAGTGTATTTGTTAGCAGAGGCCCTAGAGAATAAAATAGTGTGGAAAAAATACACTTTCATGAATCTTAATGCACACAAACACAATATAATACACAATTTATTTTGTAAAATAATAAACATGGTGCTAGATCGAGTGAATAGATACCAAACACGTCATATCTGAAATTTGCGCACGTTTGTGAAATGGTGCCAAACGCCACATGCAATGCTATATACGCCTTCACAGGTTACCAGTTCAGAGTTACAGCGGCTGTCAGGTGAAGAAGTATTGCTCTCACTCTGATCATGGCAATACCTCACCTGTGCGCTGCGATCGCTGTTTACGTATGCATGCGGGATCGATACGTGTGTTCGCCTCCTCACACGAACGTGGGGGGGGGGGGATAGGGGTGCTTTAAATGTTTATTTTTATTTTATTTTTTATTTATTTATTTCTTACACTGTTTCTTTCATTGTGACAGCAATAGGCAGTGACAGGTAGTCTTTATGAAGTGATCTGGGGTCTATTGGACGTTATACACTCCTGACCTCTACATTCTGAGCCTTATGCACTCTTGACCCCTGCATTGAGATGAATTCACTTCTGACCCCTGCACTTTGAGTGTTGTGCACTCCTGACCCCTTCACCTTAAGTATCATGCTCTTCTGAGCTCTGCATTGTGTGTGTTATCTAGGTCTGACCAATGCATCTGCGTGTTATGCTCTCCTGAACCCTGAACACCCTGTGCGTTATGCAGTCCTGACCCCTGCACTCTGCATAAATACTACTGACCCCTGCATTCTGTATAACTACTACTGACCCCTGCACACTGCATAACTACTACTGACCCCTGCACACTGCATAAATACTACTGACCTCTGAACTCTGCATAAATACTACTGACTCCTGCATTAATACTACTGATCCCTGCACTCTGCATAAATACTACTGACTCCTGCACTCTGCATAAACACTACTGATCCCTGCACTCTGCAAAACTACTACCGACTCCTGCACTCTGCATAAATACTACTGACCCCTGCATTAATACTACTGATCCCTGCACTCTGCATAAATACTACTGACCCCTGCACTCTGCATAAATACTAACGACCCCTGTACTCTGCATAAACACTACTGACCCCTGCACTCTGCATAAATACTATCGACCCCTGCACTCTGCATAAATACTACTGACCCCTGCACTGTGCATAAATACTCCCAATCCCTGCACTGTGCATAAATACTCCCGATCCCTGCACTCTGCATTAATACTACTGACCCCTGTACTCTGCATAAATACTACTGACCCCTGCACTCTGCATATATACTACTGACCCCTGCACACTGCATAAATACTACTGATCCCTGCATTAATACTACTGACCCCTGCACTCTGCATAACTACTACTGACCCCTGCACTATGCATAACTACTACTGCCCCCTGTACTCTGCATAAATACTACTGACCCCTGTACTCTGCATAAATACTACTGACCCCTGCACTCTGCATAAATACTACTGATCCCTGCACTCTGCATAAATACTCCCGATCCCTGCACTCTGCATAAACATTACTGACCCCTGCACTCTGCATAAATACTACTGACCCCTGCACTCTGCATAACTACTACTGACCCCTGCACTCTGCATAAATACTACTGACCCCTGCACTCTGCATAAACACTACTGACCCCTGCACTCTGCATAACTACTACTGCCCCCTGTACTCTGCATAAATACTACTGACCCCTGCACTCTGCATAAACACTACTGACCCCTGCACTCTGCATAAACACTACTGACCCCTGCACTCTGCATAAATACTAACGACCCCTGCACTCTGCATAAATACTAACGACCCCTGTACTCTGCATAAATACTACTGACCCCTGCACACTGCATAAATACTACTGACCCCTGCACTCTGCATAACTACTAACGACCCCTGTACTCTGCATAAATACTAACGACCCCTGTACTCTGCATAAATACTACCGACCCCTGCACTCTGCATAAATACTACCGACCCCTGTACTCTGCATAAATACTACCGACCCCTGCACTCTGCATAAATACTACTGACCCCTGTACTCTGCATAAATACTACTGACCCCTGCACACTGCATAAATACTACTGACCCCTGCACTCTGTTACTTACTCCGGACCTCTGAAGCTTGCTTTACATACAGCTGACCCCTGCATTCTGCATTACTTGTTTGAATTTTTTAGTTTACATTTTGGTAGTCTTCTAAAATATGGGAGTCAGGGTTGGGGGGGGGGGGGAAGGGGGATTTTCAGATCTTGCTAAAGGTGCCATTTCCATGCATTTGCTGCTGGCCGTGCAGTGTGATCATGGTTGGTGTATACTGGGTATTATTATGCAGTGCGGTGTATATACAGTATACTGATTGGACGATTCTCCCGCCATCACGCCGTCTCTCGTGTCCTCGCTGTGGGTGGGCGCAGTCTGTGGTTTGGGCGGATTCATATTTGGAACTCTGATATCTCCTCATTTCAGTCTGCAGGTGGAGATATGCATGCTGTCAGGGACTTTCTCCAAGACGCGGTGAGTACTTCATATTTTATTTTCTGTGCGATTGTTATTTTCATTTTTTGAATATTCTGTTTATTGCTCATTGTCGCCTGTAGTCTTAAGCCGGCCTTATGTGGGTCAAATTCTGAAAGAAATTTCTTTCTAAAATTTTTGTTCAAATTTCGCACCATTAGCAGGTCACAGAAATGGCTGATTTTCATGTAACCATCGAATTTGAGAGATCGGGCATGTTGGAAATTTTTTTAAAAAAGAATGAGTTTCGAATCAATGGTGGGAGAATTATGTGGGAAATATAAACGAAAGAGAAATGAGCCGTGAGATGTGACCTGGAAAGGAAAGAAAATTCTTGGCCACGAAAATTCTTTTCTGTAGCAACACGAGGAGAAATTGAAGGCTCGGTTGGTTGAATTTCGAACCATCGCATTACAAAACGCAGAAAATGTCTGATTTTTTAAAGAAAATTTGTTCGGAATTTGACCCACGTATGGCCGGCATTGAACAGGCTCTTGATATACTTTTCTTTTTTTTTTTTTAATTTTTTCTTTATCTGCAAATTTTCTTTATTCTTTACATTGGAGATGTTTAAATTTTGCTCGTTCCCATGTGTCTACCGTCCTACCAAGAAGGAAAATGTCAGCATTTCCCCTCTGATCACACTTGATACCTGGAGGCTGTTACATACATACCAAAATGCATTTTATATTGGACCGCATTTAATTTTGAATTCTGAATTTTGCATTTAATTTTGAATTCTGAATTCTATGGCTGAATATTTTTTGTAGTAAAGAAATATAATGCTGCCTGTGACACCGAACAGTATAGGGTGACGCCTATTGTTTGTAAAAAGTAGCGACTGGGAATGCAAGATTGATGCAATTCCTAGGGGCATTTCCACTGCACAGACATCCATCCCACTTAGCATACCCTATACTAAACCTCCCTCAACACTTGCCTCTTATGACCTCGCTACTACCGATGAGGTCACTAAGGTTTTCTCAGAAGCCCATCTCACTACCTGCCCCCTGGATCCTGTCCCCTCACAACTCCTACGGTCACCCTCCTCTTCCATCCTATGCTCCCTCACTCACATCTTCATCCTCTCCCTCTCTAATGGTGCCTTCCCCTCCCCTCTAATGCACGCGCACCATCACTCCCATACTTAAAAAGCCCTCCCTGGACCCCACCAACCTGAACAACTGAAGACCCATCTCCCTGCTGCCATTTACCTCTAAACTCCTAGAACACAGTCTACAATCGCCTGAGCTTCCACCTCACCGACAACAACCTTTTTGACCCTTTACAGTCTGGCTTTCACTCACTCCACTGAAACTGCCCTACTAAACCTCACTAATGATCTACTAACTTCCAAAACCAATGGCCACTACTCCGTACCCATCCCAACCAATGGCCACTGCTCCGTACTCATCCCAACCAATGGCCACTGCTCCGTACTCATCCCAACCAATGGCCACTGCTCCGTACTCATCCCAACCAATGGCCACTGCTCCGTACTCATCCCAACCAATGGCCACTGCTCCGTACTCATCCCAACCAATGGCCACTACTCCGTACTCATCCCGTCCAATGGTCACTACTCCGTACTCATCCCGACCAATGGCCACTACTCCGTACTCATCCCGACCAATGGCCACTACTCCGTACTCATCCCAACCAATGGCCACTACTCCGTACTCATCCCGACCAATGGCCACTGCTCTGTACTCATCCCAACCAATGGCTACTGCTCCGTACTCATCCCAACCAATGGCCACTGCTCCGTACTCATCCCAACCAATGGCCACTACTCCATACTCATCTCAACCAATGGCCACTGCTCTGTACTCATCCCAACCAATGGCCACTGCTCCGTACTCATCCCAACCAATGGCCACTACTCCATACTCATCCCAACCAATGGCCACTGCCGTTCTGTGGGTCACTAGAGATCCCGACGGGCGGTGCCTGGCAGTTCCTTACGGCTTGCCTGACCATTCCACCTCTCCAGCCCTGACTACGCCTGTGTTCCTGCACATATTGATACTAGTTGAAGGTTGGTTTTGTTTACTGTGTTCTTTGTATATTTGGACGGCTAATAATAAATATTATTATTATTATTACATCATTCCTGAAGCCTGCTACTTCCTTGTGTCAGTCCACACATCTCTGGTCATACCTGAATCCCTAACAACACTACCCCGTATTCATCCCAACCCATGGCTACTACTCCGAACTCATCCCAACCAATGGCCACTCCTCCATACTCATCCCAACCAATGGCCACTACTCCTTACTCATCCTTACCAATGGCCACTCCTCCGTACTCATCCCAACCAATGGCCACTACTCCGTACTCATCCCAACCAATGGCCACTACTCCGTACTCATCCCAACCAATGGCCACTACTCCGTACTCATCCTTACCAATGGCCACTACTCCGTACCAATCCCAATCAATGGTCACTACTCCGTACTCATCCCAACCAATGGCCACTACTCCGTACTCATCCCAACCAATGGCCACTGCTCCGTACTCATCCCAACTAATGGCCACTACTCCGTACTCATCCCAACCAATGGCCAGTACTCCGTACTCATCCCAACCAATGACCACTACTCTGTACTCATCCCAACCAATGGCCACTACTCCGTACTCATCCCAACCAATGGCCACTACTCCGTACTTATCCCAACCAATGGCCACTACTCCGTACTCATCTCAACCAATGGCCACTACTCCGTACTCATCTCAACCAATGGCCACTACTCTGTACTCATCCCAACCAATGGGCACTCCTCCGTACTCATCCCAACCAATGGCAACTACTCCGTACTCATCCCAACCAATGGCCACTACTCCGTACTCATCCCAACCAATGGCCACTACTCCGTACTCATCCCAACCAATGGCCACTACTCCGTACTCATCCCAACCAATGGCCGCTACTCCGTACTCATCCCAACCAATGGCCACTACTCCATACTCTTACTACTTGACCTCTCTGCGGCTTTTGATACAGTTAACCATCCCTTCCTCCTCAAAAAACTCCACTCTCTTGAGCTCTGAGACTCTGCTCTCTCCTGGTTCTTCTACCTATGGCAGCACTCCTTCAGCGTTACCTATAACTCTGTCTCCTCCTCTCCCTCTTTCTGTAGGGGTCCCTCAAGGTTCTGTCCATGGACCCCTTCTCTTCTCCATCTATACCTCCTCCCCTGGTCACTTGATAAACTCCCATGGTTTTAAGCACCATCTCTATGCTGATGACACACAAATCTATCTTTCTGCTCCTCACCTCTTCAGTCTCCTCTCGCATTACTAACCTACTAAGTGACATATTGGCATGGATGTCACTCCACTTCCTCAAACTCATTCTTTCCAAAATGGAGCTCATGCTATTCCCTCCAGCCTGTGCCCCCTCTCCTGACTTCTCCATCAAGATCAATAATACGTCCATCAGTCCCTCCCCTCATGCCAGGGTACGAGATGTAATCCTAGACTCCCATCTGTCCTTTCTGCCCCAAATCCAATCACTGGCCAAATCTTGTAGACTTCACTTCTGCAACATCTCGAAGATATGCCAGTTCTTAACCTCTGAAAGTACTAAGCAACTTATTCACTCCCTTGGTATATCTCACCTTGACTATTGTAACTCCCTCCTCATTGGCCGACCTCATCGCAGGATATCCACTCTTCAGGCTATCATGAATGCTGCTGCCATACTCATCCGCCTTACTAACCGTTCCATATCTGCCATCCCTCTCTGCCAATCCCTCCACTGGCCTCCACCCCTCTCTGCCAATCCCCCCACTGGCCTCCACTCAGTGTCCTCCACCCCTCTCTGCCAATCCCTCCACTGGCCTCCATTCAGTGTCCTCCACCCCCCTCTGCCAATCCCCCCACTGGACTCCACTCAGTGTCCTCCACCCCTCTCTGCCAATCCCCCCACTGGACTCCACTCAGTGTCCTCCACCCCCTCTCTGCCAATCCCTCCACTGGCCTCCACTCAGTGTCCTCTACCCCTCTCTGCCAATCCCTCCACTGGCCTCCACTCAGTGTCCTCTACCCCTCTCTGCCAATCCCTCCACTGGCCTCCACTCAGTGTCCTCCATCCCTCTCTGCCAATCCCTCACTGGCCTCCACTCAGTGTCCTCCTCCATCCCTCTCTGCCAATCCCTTCACTGGCCTCCACTCAGTTTCCTCCATCTCTCTGCCAATCCCTCCACTGACCTCAAATTAGTGTCCTCCACCCCTCTCTGACAATCCCTCCACTGGCTTCCCGTTGCACAATGAATACAATTCAAAACATTAACAATCACATATAAAGCCATTTTATAACCCCAAATTACATCACCAATCTTGTCTGCAAGTATTACCCAAACCGTCCTCTCCGCTCCTACCATAACCTCCTGCTGTCTAGCTCCCTTGTCTCCTCCTCCCATGCTCATCTCCAGGACTTCTCCAGAGCTTTCCCCATCCTCTGGAACTCTCTACCCCAATCTGATTTCTGAAAACCTATCTTCTATTCCTCCTACCAGTCCATCCCCCACAGTTATTACCCTTTGTACCACCAGCCCCTCCCTCCTAGATTGTAAGCTCCCAGGATCAGGGCCCTCCTAACCCTCTTGTATTGAACTGCATTGTTGCTGTATTGTCTCCCCTTATATTGTACATCGCTGAGCAAACTGTTGGCGCCATAAATCCTGTATAATAATAATAATAATAATGTGGAGTTGCACCTGTGAAAATTCATGGATCCCCCATCTAATATTCGGTAAAATAAAATGTTATGGCACAGATGGTTACTAAAATAAAAGTAAGAGTTCTAGAGAAGGTCTTTATGTCATGCAGGAGCCTGTACGATATCGCGCCAGTTCCTGCAGTGCATGAAAACGCATGTTCTGTTCTTGACCTGTGGTGACAATTATTCAATTTTGAATTTTTTTTTGTTATGTTGAACATTTTGAGTAATGTAAAAGATTACAAACTCCAGAGAATGTGCCGTTCGTTCTTCATGGCACCCCAGACTCACCAGCCAACATATTGTGATGTACTGCGATTTTAAAGAAAAAAGGTGCTGCGCTTCTTCTGTGCAATTGCTGTGTATAGGGCGGCCAATGAATGATCTGCTCTAAACAGGACAGACCTAATAGAGACAAAACACAGGTACACTGGGGGGGGGGGGGGGGGGGGGATTTACTAAAGGCAAATAGACTCTGCACTTTGCAAAGTGCAGTTGCTCCACAGCTCAGTGAGTGTGAGCAGAAGCTCTGCTGACTTACATCATCCAATCATGTGCAAGCAAAAGTGCATTTTGTTTGCATGTGATGGGGGGCCGAATCTAAGGGGATGCTGAGGTGGGCTGTGCCCCCCCCAGATTTAGCTATGCCCCCCCCAGGCAGGTCTATGAAAGTGCATCCACCAATCCATGAACCAGTCTGCTACAGACAGTTGATGTAAGGAGGCACTCTGATGATAACAATCTATGTAACCCATCCAAGTTCAATACCCCTAATAAAACCAAAAAAGCTCAAGGACTGTTTACTGTTTCCAGAGTACAAGTCTAAGAAAATGTGTGTTGCCTGGCTGTGCAGGACTATAGGGGAACCCAATAACTTCAGCGACTCCTAAGGGGGTACTGCTACACACTGGGGGGACCTGCAGCCCAGAGTTGAGCTTTAAAACAGAACTAAATCTTTAAATAAATTACTAACAGGTAGAGTTTTGCAAAAAGAAAAAAACATCTTTCCCTTTCTCTTGGAAATGGTTTTGCACTTCAGCATGCCTTAAGCGCACTTGAGGATACCTTAAGTGCAGCATAAAACTTAATGAACTGGAATGGGTGGAAGTGGCTGCACTGGTACCAAAATGTGAGAGAAGAGCAGGAGTGAAAGTTCCGACCTGTAGTCACGTTCATCTGCAGCACTGCCATTGGAGACCTCAGAGAAAGTGTGGGAGGTACTTAGACAACGCAGAGCTCATTGATGTGTCAGGAGGCGGAGCTGTGACAACTGCAGACTCAGAAAATGTTGTCACTCTTTCTGCTAAAGGAGCCGTGGAGTATGGGAGTCACTGATCTTACCCCCCCCCCCCCCTGCTTCAAATTTCATTGCTGCCATAAATTGCGCTTTTCTACGCCGAGATGCAGCTCATCGTCTTGCTTTTGCCCCACAGATGGTGTCACAGAACTCATTTACCATCTACCGGTCGGTGGAAGAGGACGAGGCCGAGCTGCATGTAGAGGACACCCCTGGGGCCATGAGGAAGCCGGTTTCGAGGACCTCCAAGCTCTGGGACCTCCCAACGTGGCAGAAAATCGCCATCGCCGTCATCGTCACGGCAAGCATCGGTGAGAGCTGCTCCAACGGGGATTAAAGAGAGACTTCCAGCAGCTGTCACTGCTGACTTAATTTTTGAGGGGCAGAATCCGGGGCTGTAGATGGGATCTTGGCTTCACTTTAACGATTGTACTAATTTATTTCAAACTTTACAAAAAAATTTCAAACTTTTTTTTATAATATAAAAATGGAAGGGGACATCGGGACATGGAGCTTCCTTCTAGCAGCTCAGGAGGGTCCTTTGCACACGAAGAGCTCAATCTAACATTCTTCTTCTGTGCTCAGGGCCTGGCTGAGAGGTAGGCAAGAGGGCCACCACCTTGGGTGCTTCAGCGTGGGTTGGTTGCAGAAGGGCAGGACCAGAGGTATAACTAGAGCCTTCAGGGCCCCAGTGCAAGAAACCATAAAGGGCCTCCCTGACCCGACCCTGGGACCCTTCCCACTAGGCCCGGAGCTCTTACCAATGATTCTGGGGCTCTTCACTACCATCACGGGAACTTTGTTATGGTTCCGCAGTGGAACCCTTTCACATGTTCTGCCGAAGACCCCCTTCCTGACGTCATGGAGTCCCCCCCACGGTGGCGGAATACCATGGCCCGGTCACAAGTGAGACCTTTGCAACCCTGGCAGTTCCGCCACTGTGCAGGACCTTCAATCATGAGACCAATTTTTGGCCTGTTCCATTCACATCAAAAATCTGAGTTGCTACCTTGATCCTGTAGCTTCACTTCTTCCTTTCCGAGTCACTGAACCAGAATAAGTAAGCAGAGCAGGAGATGACTTCACTTGCGTCATGCTTGTGATTCAAAGAGGAACCTAGCCAGGTATCAGCTCAACACCCATTGAATGTGCATGTAGCTGTAGATGATCCAATTGTCTCACCTAAAGAAGGACATGAGGGATGGAGCTGCTTAGGTCAGTCCCAAGGCTAGGGATAAAAATGACAGATAGGTCTCCGGTGTGAAATCCATTTTGAAGCTCCTTGTTGGCTCGTTGGGCTGACCGATTTTTATGACAGTGGTAGTTTTGGCAAGCATTTGAAGAGAGTACAGGAGGGGAGAATTTGGGGGTCCCTAGAGGGTCTTATCTGGAACATAGGAACAAAGTAAAAAGAGTTAGATATACAGAGGAGACCAGCAAAGATAAATCCTCCGAACATAAGACGTCTCTCCATTATGTCCCCTCAGCTTTTATCCTGGGATTCCTGGCCACACGCAGACCATGTGCCGCATGCGTGACTGACGGAGACCAGAATGAAGAGATACCTGAAGACTTCCTGGAGCAGGAAACACTGACAATGGATTGGACGGAGCTGAAAGATTTATTCAACAAATTCCTAAGGGATGGACAACAGATCGAGAGCACAGTAAGGTAACACAGCAACCCAAACCTACGGTGGGCTATGAGTCTGTACTCCTCCTGCAGGGAGGCACCTAGAGAAGGGGCTATGAGTCTGTCCTCCTCCTGCAGGGCGACACATATAGAAGGGGCTATGAGTCTGTCCTCCTCCTGCAGGGTGACACCTAGAGAAGGGGCTACGAGTCTGTCCTCCTCCTGCAGGGTGACACATATAGAAGGGGCTACGAGTCTGTCCTCCTCCTGCAGGGTGACACATATAGAAGGGGCTATGTGTCTGTCCTCCTCCTGCAGGGTGACACATATAGAAGGGGCTATGAGTCTGTCCTCCTCCTGCAGGGTGACACATATAGAAGGGGCTACGAGTCTGTCCTCCTCCTGCAGGGTGACACATATAGAAGGGGCCGTGAGTGTGTCCTCCTCCTGCAGGGTGACACATATAGAAGGGGCCGTGAGTCTGTCCTCCTCCTGCAGGGTGACACCTATAGAAGGGGCCGTGAGTCTGTCCTCCTCCTGCAGGGTGACACATATTGAAGGGGCAGTGAGTCTGTCCTCCTCCTGCAGGGTGACACCTATAGAAGGGGCCGTGAGTCTGTCCTCCTCCTGCAGGGTAACACCTATAGAAGGGGCTATGAGTCTGTCCTCCTCCTTCATGGTGACACCTATAGAAGGGGCTACGAGTCTGTCCTCCTCCTGCAGGGTGACACATATAGAAGGGGCTGTGAGTCTGTCCTCCTCCTGCAGGGTGACACCTATAGAAGGGGCTATGAGTCTGTCCTCCTCCTGCAGGGTGACACCTATAGAAGGAGCTATGAGTCTGTCCTCCTCCTGCAGGGTGAGACCTATAGAAGGGGCTACAAGTCTGTCCTCCTCCGGCAGGGTGACACCTATAGAAGGGGCTACGAGTCTGTCCTCCTCCTGCAGGGTGACACATATAGAAGGGGCTGTGAGTCTGTCCTCCTCCTGCAGGGTGACACCTATAGAAGGGGCTATGAGTCTGTCCTCCTCCTGCAGGGTGACACCTATAGAAGGGGCTGTGAGTCTGTACTCCTCCTACGGATATCCATCGGATTGCTCAGTAGAATGTATCTGTATTGTGTTCCATGCAGGAGACTCTCGAGAAGTCCTCATCCAGCCGGATCCTCGGAGAATCAGAAATTGGCGGACGATATCCTCCAGCAGTTCCGGACTTACACCCTGGACCACACCTGGGTGGAGAGCCACTACGCCAAGCTGCAGTTTCCTGACAGGTAATTATTGCACCCCTGGTGACCCCTCCGGACAGTGACCCCGCTCCGTACGTCACATGTCTCTGCTCTCCCCCCATAGGACTCGCCCCAACAGACTGCAGATCATTGGTGCTGACAACAAACTTATCGAGGACTTCCAGTTTAAGGACCAGGATGCGTACTGTCCATACAGTGCTGTGGGCTCTGTGAAGGTGAATGAGGCCCAATTATATATATATATGGGGTGGGGGGATAATGGGGTGTGTATAGCCATTCGTCCAGTGAATCTGCATTTATTGCACATCACCCACCAGGGACTGATCAATGTACTGCACATCACCCACCAGGGACTGGTCTCTGTATTGCACACATCACCCACCAGGGACTGGTCTCTGTATTGCACACATCACCCACCAGGAACTAGTCTCTGTATTGCACACATCACCCACCAGGGACTGGTCTCTGTATTGCACACATCACCCACCAGGAACTAGTCTCTGTATTGCACACATCACCCACCAGGGACTGGTCTCTGTATTGAACATCACCCACAGGGACTAATCTCTGTATTGAACATCACCCACCAGGGACTGGTCTCTGCATTGCACATCACCCACCAGGAATTGGTCTCTGTATTTCACATCACCCACCAGGAATTGGTCTCTGTATTGCACATCACTCACCAGGAACTGGTCTCTGTATTGCACACATCACCCACCAGGGACTGGTCTCTGTATTGCACATCATCCACCAGGGACTGGTCAATGTATTGCACATCATCCACCGGGGACTGGTCTCTGTATTGCACATCATCCACCAGGGACTGGTCAATGTATTGCACATCATCCACCAGGGACTGGTCAATGTATTGCACATCATCCACCAGGGACTAGTCAATGTACTGCACATCATCCACCAGGGAATGGTCTCTGTATTTGAGTTCACTCACCAGAGACTGGTCTCTCTATTGCACATCACCCACCAGGGATTGTTATCTGTATTGTACATGACCCAGCAGGGATTAGCCTCTGTATTGCACTTCACTAACCAAGAACTGGTCTCTGCATTCCACATCACCCACCGGGGACTGGTCTCTGTATTGCACATCACCCACCGGGGACTGGTCTCCGCATTGCACATCACCCACCGGGGACTGGTCTCCGCATTGCACATCACCCACCGGGGACTGGTCTCCGCATTAGACTTCACTCACCGGAGACTGGTCTCCGCATTGCACATCACCCACCGGAGACTGGTCTCCGCATTGCACATCACCCACCGGGGACTGGTCTCCGTGTTGGACATCACCCACCGGGGACTGGTCTCCGCATTGGACATCACCCACCGGGGACTGGTCTCCGCATTGCACATCACCCACCGGGGACTGGTCTCCGCATTGCACATCACCCACCGGGGACTGGTCTCCACATTGCACATCACCCACCGGGGCTGGTCTCTGCATTGCACATCACCCACCGGGGACTGGTCTCTGTATTGCACATCACCCACTGGGGACTGGTCTCTGTATTGTACATCATCCACTGTGGACTGGTCTCTGTATTGCACATCACCCACTGGGGACTGGTCTCTGTATTGCACATCACCCACTGGGGACTGGTCTCTGTATTGTACATCATCCACTGTGGACTGGTCTCTGTATTGTACATCACCCACCGGGGACTGGTCTCTGTATTGTACATCTACAGTAAGTTGTTTCAGACATTAGTTCCCAAGTAACTCACTGTGGTGATTCAGGGGCCCCTGGATGGGGCAGGCACCCTAATACACAGAGTCTCACACCAAGATGGCTTCCAGAGATCATCAGAAGTAGCCGCATCCAATCAGACAGTCTCTTAAGGAACAATTTTCCTGTAGAGATTCTGCTTCATCATCACCACCTAGTGGACGGAGGACAAGTTGGAGCTGCTCTCTGTATTGCACACTGACACTTTCCATAAGGTAACAGGCTGTGTACTGCAACCAATGACTGGTCCCTGCACTGTATATAAGCCATGAGGGACTGAGCTCCATATTATATACTGGTCATCAGAGTACAGCAGCCATATGTCTGTCTCCACACACACCAAACCTGTGTATTATATACGTCTCTTTGTATACCTTCAGGCAGGGCTGGTGTACGTGAACTATGGGAGGAAGGAGGACTTCGAGTCCCTGAGAACTTGGGGAGTGAATGTCACAGACAATCTGGTGATCGTGAAGACCGGATATATTACCTTTGCGGAGAAGGTGAGCTGTGTTCCCGAGGATCCACAAATATATTCGCACCGCACACACATTGATTTCCCCTCATTGTGACTTTTAGGTGTACAATGCCGAGCGGGCCGGAGCCACGGGTGTCCTGATATTCACGGACATGTTGGACGCTGCAGTGTATGGACATGTGAGTTCTACGCTAATTGGAGTATTTATTATTAAAAAAATGCCTAGCTATTCACCCAGTGAAAGTTTATGCACGTTGGTTCTGTGTGAACAGGGAAACAATGAATGTTGTTAGGTTATTTCCTGTTCTGGTTGAATGTTTCTCATTGATTTAAAATGGAAAATACTGCTTTTAACCACTAGGTGGTTTTTATCATAGAAAATTCATTTGATACTGTGCACCATCTAGTGGCCAAATGCATTTGGCATAAACCAATGAAAAACATTCGACCAGCACAGGAAATAGCCTAATTCCCCCAACATGGGTTCTAATGCTTCCCCACTCCATGTAAAACTAAGTGTAGCACCTTTCTAGTCAGCTAGGGGGAGCTCTAGTTCAGTTGTTAGTGAGCCGTCTGGATGTGATAGTCAGAGGGAGGTCAAATTTTGGTCAGAGCTGAGAGGCTCTGAAGACCAACTCTCTGAGACTTCCCCCTGCACTAGAACTTTGGAGAAAGATCTAGCAGTAGTAGGTGGAGGTGGGGAGAGGCTGGTCTGCACTCTTAGAGGATCCTGGAAGGAGCCAGGACAGCCAGGAGTTAGGGCGGAATATGGAGAGGAAGTGAGACTGGAGAGCAGGATCCTGGGAGGGGGCCCAGATGGAGAGGGGCCCACCTACAGGCAGAGGACCTTGGAGGGAGGAAAGCTTGGCACTTCACTGGCCCCCAGAAAGAGGACCACCTGTGCGGTAGGGAAGGAGCTGCCCTGGTAGAAGCCACTGACCCAGCAGCAGCACAGGAGAAGGACTGAGTAAGTAGACCTGCACCCCCTGGGCCAGAAAAGGGAAAGAGGCACTCTGGTGGGAAACTGGAATAGCTTTTTACCTGGGACTGTTCACACTGCAATGGCCGGCACTGGATCCCCTGTCCAGGGATTCATCCAGTACAGCTGGATGAGGAGATGATTCATCTGGGGTCTGGGGTGCTATCCAGAAGACTTGCACATATTTGCTAAGGAGTTGTCCTATGTTGCCATTATCCTTGGACATCCCATACACCCCTTACCCCATCCAAGTTCTAATTCCTCTAACAAAATCCAAAACAACAAGCTCAAGGACTGGCTACTGTCTGCGGGATGGTGGAAAATGTTTGTTGCTTGGCTGTGCAGGACTATAGGGGGACCCAAAATTCAGCGACTCCTAAGGTGGTAGTGCTACGTAAGGATACAGCTTAGAGTTGGGTATAGCTGTTATGTTTATGGTTACATTTTGGGGTTAGTCAGAGATGAAGGTGTTAGGCTTAGAGCTAAGGGTTCAGGTGAAGCTAAGGGAAAGGAGTAAGATTAGGACTTGGGTTAGGACAAGATGCATATTTATTACAGGTACTTATATAGCGCCATCAATTTACGCAGCACGTTACATATACGTTATGTTACCAAAACTATTGGGCCGCCGGCCTTCCCACGCACATGACCTTTAATGGCCCCCCAGTCTTAGTCCGTAGGGTTCAATATTGAGTTGGCCCCGCCCTTTCCACACACATGAGCTTTAATGGCCCCCCAGTCTTAGTCCGTAGGGTTCAATATTGAGTTGGCCCCCGCCCTTTCCACACACATGAACTTTAATGGCCCCCCAGTCTTAGTCCGTAGGGTTCAGTTTTGAGTTGGCCCCGCCCTTTGCAGCTATAACAGCTGCAACTCTTCTGGGAAGGCCGTCCACAAGGTTTAGGAGGGTGTCTATGGGAAGGTTGGACCATTCTTCCAGAAGCACATTTGTCAGGTCAGGCAATGACGTCGGGGGAGGAGGCCTGGCTCGCAGTCTCCGCTCTAATTCATCCCAAAGGTGTTCTATGGGGTTGAGGTCAGGACTCTGTGCAGGACAGTCAAGTTCCTCCACCCCAAACTGGCTCCTCCATGTCTTTATGGACCTTGCTTTGTGCACTGGTGCGCAGTCATGTTGGAACAGGAAGGGGCCATCCCCAAACTCTTCCCACAAAGCTGTTAGCATGAAATTGTCCAAAATGTCTTGGTATGCTGACACATTAGGAGTTCCCTTCACTGGAACTAGGGGGCCAAGCCCAACCCTTGAAAAACAACCCCACACCATAATCCCCCCTCCACCAAACTTTACACTTGGCACAATGCAGTCAGGCAAGTACCATTCTCCTGGTAACCACCAAACCCAGACATGTCCATCGGATTGCCAGACAGAGAAGTGTGATTGGTTACTCCAGAGAACACATCTCCACTGCTCTAGAGTCCAGTGGTGGCATGCTTTACACCATGGCATCCGACGCTTTGCATTGCACTTGGTGATGGAAGGCTTGGATGCAGCTGCTCGGCCATGGAAACCCATTCCATGAAGCTCTCTACGCACTGTTGTTGGGCTCATCTGAAGGCCACACCAAGTTTGGAGGTCTTTAGCTATTGACTCTGCAGACAGTTGGTGACTTCTGCGCACTGTGCGCTTCAGCATGCGCTGACCCCGCCCTGTCATGTGACGTGGCCTACCACTTGGTGGCTGAGTTGCTGTTGTTCCCACTTTGTTATAATCCCACTAACAGTTGAGCGTGGAATATTTAGTAGCCAGGAAATGTCTTGGATGGACTTATTGCCCAGGTTGCCACCTATCACGGGACCATGCTTGGAGTCACTGAGCTCCTGAGAGCGACCCATTCTTTCACCAATGTTTGTAGAAGCAACATTGAAGAAAAATTACTCCATTAAACATTTAATGTTGTAGAAACCACACGTTCTGAAAATTTTATTTTTAAACCCCACAAGCCCCTGAGCCAATTCAGAAAGGACAAGAATACATATTACTCCAATTAACTCCACCCCCTGCTCTTCTCTTCCAGGTTCACTTGGGTACCGGAGACCCCGAAACTCCCGGATTTCCATCATTTAACCACACCCAGTTTCCTCCTTTCAAATCTTCGGGACTGCCTAAAATACCAGCTCAGCCAATAGATAAAACCACAGCTCTATCATTACTCAGGTATGGAATGCATGCATTGCAAATATGAGACACTTTCGGTGGCTGACTGATGTATGAAAAACGAGCAACAAAAAAGAAATGTGCCACCAATCAGTATCCAGCTGCCATTTCTGCAAGCCAATAAATCCAGTAGCCTGATTGGTTGCTTTGTGCAGGAAGTGAAGTGGGAAGGGTTAAAACTTGCTGTTTCCAGTCCTGGTGACAACCACTCGCCTTATTCAATGTATGGGTGTCACTGGAAGGGAGGGAAAATCTCACCAATGGGATGAAAGACAGAAATACAATCCTTGACCGAGTTTTTAAATATTCCCCACCCTACCTAAGACAAAAAAAAAACTAGATGAAGTTATGCTTTCATTCATTTTTCCTATTCTTGGTTACAGCTTTCATTTTTTTTTTTTTAACTGATTGCTCTGCCTTTGAGCTTAGCAGAGACCAGAAGACAATTGTCCTTTGGGGAAACAGGCAGTCAGCCATTTTTTTGTGGCCATTTGCAGGTCTCAGGGTCGGGGTTTTGGCTCCGTAAGCTCCTTCCCATGAATATGTGTGGTTGGCCAATACAAGCGAGTGTATTCGTAAAATCAATTGGCCGACGATCAGAATGTGGTCTATGACTAGCGAATTACTCAACTGGTAGATCAAGTAAATCAGCCAAACGAGAAGTTTTGGATTCTCCTGAATTTGGTCATCACTAATGACAGATTTTACAATGGTTTTGGGTACACAAGGTTCCTGTGACTTTTCGTTCTGAATTCTTCTAAATATGGTGTTCTGTAATAATTTGCTTTATGATGGTCTTGGGTACACTAGGGTCATGTGTTGCTTTTTTTGGTCCCTTACAGTAAACTCAAAGGAAGGGAGGCACCTTCAGACTGGAGGAATCCAGCTTTTCCTTCTCATGACATGGGCCCCATTATGACTGACGGTCACGTGGTCCAGTTGGAGGTCAACAATCTGGAGCGCAGTGTAGAGCTGGTCAATGTGTTCGGAAGTATAACTGGACGCTTCGAGCCTGGTAAGATGCTAGAATGACCACACCTGCAAAGATCACCCCCATGGACTCTACTGATATTTACCTGAGCTCCTATGGCCAATGTGGGCACACACGAAGCCTTGATGTGTTCAGAACAAAATGGCCAATGGAATTCCCTAAACCATATATTAATGAGCAGTCATGCCAGAACAGTTTTTCTTACTTTTGAGGTATAAGGCCCAGGGCCGGTTCTAGCCTGTCTGCTGTGGGGGTGCAGTAATAAATGTCAGGGGGGCAGAGGATGTGAGGTCAGCGGGGCAGAGGATATGGTCAGCAGTCTGTAGGGCAGTGTACAGATGGTTAACAAAGCAGTGTATAGGAGGCAGCAGGGCAGTGTGCAGTGGGTCAGAAGGGCAGAGGATGAGATGTAGGGCAGTGTAGAAGAGTCAGTAGGACAGAGTACAGGAGGTCAGAGGATAGGTGTCAGCAGGGAAGAAGACGGGTCAGTAAGACGGACAACAAGGATCAGCAGGGCAGGGTACAGGGGGTTAGCAGGTAAGAGAACAGGGAAAGTCAGAAAGGAAGGATAGGATCACGTCTGGCAGAGCACTCAGCAGAGCTCCTCCTTCCCTGCGCTGCTCACAGCCCGGGCACTCAGCAGACCTCCTCCTTCCCTGCGCTGCTCACAGCCCGGGCACTCAGCAGACCTCCTCCTTCCCTGCGCTGCTCACAGCCCAGGCACTCAGCAGAGCTCCTCCTTCCCTGCGCTGCTCACAGCCGGGGCACTCAGCAGACCTCCTCCTTCCCTGCGCTGCTTACAGCCGGGGCACTCAGCAGAGCTCCTCCTTCCCTGCGCTGCTTACAGCCCGGGCACTCAGCAGACCTCCTCCTTCCCTGCGCTGCTTACAGCCGGGGCACTCAGCAGACCTCCTCCTTCCCTGCGCTGCTCACAGCCCGGGCACTCAGCAGACCTCCTCCTTCCCTGCGCTGCTTACAGCCGGGGCACTCAGCAGACCTCCTCCTTCCCTGCGCTGCTTACAGCCGGGGCACTCAGCAGACCTCCTCCTTCCCTGCGCTGCTCACAGCCCGGGCACTCAGCAGACCTCCTCCTTCCCTGCGCTGCTTACAGCCGGGGCACTCAGCAGAGCTCCTCCTTCCCTGCGCTGCTCACAGCCCGGGCACTCAGCAGACCTCCTCCTTCCCTGCGCTGCTTACAGCCGGGGCACTCAGCAGAGCTCCTCCTTCCCTGCGCTGCTCACAGCCGGGGCACTCAGCAGACCTCCTCCTTCCCTGCGCTGCTTACAGCCGGGGCACTCAGCAGAGCTCCTCCTTCCCTGCGCTGCTCACAGCCGGGGCACTCAGCAGACCTCCTCCTTCCCTGCGCTGCTTACAGCCGGGGCACTCAGCAGAGCTCCTCCTTCCCTGCATTGCTCACAGCCCGGGCACTCGAGCATCATATCTCAGCATAAAAAAACAGCACTTCTCAGCACACTCACCTCTGCAAGCTATAATTCTCCCCAAACAGAAATGATGATGCTTTCCCACCCCCCACCCCACCTCTCAGCTCAAATCCCCCCAATTTCCCCCCAGCACTAATCTACCTCGCCAAAATAAATCACCCCCCCCACACACACACACATCCTCTTTCTCCTCAAATTTCTCATCCTAGCACAGATCCTTACCAGGGGCCGACTGACCATTCAAGCACTCGGGCACTTCCGTAGGGGGCCCCATGAGATGCCCCTGGTACCTTTCATTGGGTTTTTCATAGGCTTTTTTGGGTGTGGGCGAGGACACAGGGGCTCCAAGATCCCCTATTGCCCGGGGGCCCCATGAGTTGTCAGTCCGCCCCTGATCCTTACCCACAAATCCCTCCTCCCAGCACAAATCTTCCCCCCCAAATTCCCCCTCCTAGCATAACTCTCCCCCTCCTAGCCCAAATCCCCCACCCATTCCTAGCACAACCCCCCCCATTCCCCCTCTTAGACCAATTCCACCTCATCCCCCCTCCCAGCTGAAATCCTCACCCCCAAATCAATTTCCCTCCCAGCACAAATTCTCTCTCCCACATATCCCCCCTCCTAGCATAAATCCCCCAATCCCTCCTCTTAGCTCAAATCCCCCCACCCCTTCCTAGCTCAACCCCCCATTCCCTCTCTTAGACCAATCCCCCCCGCTCCCAGAACAAATCCTCTCCCACAAATCCCCCCTCCTAGTATAAATCCCTCCCATCCCTCCTCCTAGCACAAATCCCCCCTCCTAGTATAAATCCCGCCAATTCCTCCTAGAACACAAATCCTCCCTCCCAGTATAAATCCCTCCATTCCCTCATCCTAGCACAAATCCCCCCTCCTGGTATAAATCCCGCCAATCCCTTCTCCTAACACAAATCCCCCCTCCTAGCATAAATCCTGCCAATCCCTTCTGCTAGCATAAATCCCCCCTCCTAGTATAAATCCCTCCAATCCCTCCTCCTAGGACAAATCCCCCTTCCTAGTATAAATCCCTCCAATCCCTTCTCCTAGCACAAATCCCCCCTCCTAGTATAAATCCCTCCAATTCCTCCTCTTGGGACAAATCCCCCCTCCTAGTTTAAATCCCTCCAATCCCTCCTCCTAGCACAAATCCCCCCTCCTAGTATAAATCCCTCCAATCCCTCCTCCTAGCACAAATCCCCCCTCCTAGTATAAATCCCTCCAATCCCTCCTCCTAGCACAAATCCCCCCCCTTGTATAAATCCCTCCAATCTCTCCTCCTAGCAGAAACCAACCCCCCCCTCATATTGCACAAATCTTTCCCTCCAAGCTCAAATACCCGTCTTAGCCCAAAACCTGCCCAATATCCCCTTCTAGTATAAATCCCCTCCCCTATTGTATACAATTCCCCTGCCATGAGGTCCACTCCCCAACCCTCCGGGAGCTGTGGGCCGTGCTGCACTCTCCCATCCTGTCATTAAAGCACTCCTCTATACAGCAGATGAGAAGGGATCGCTCTTGGATCATTCACACTCTCCTTCCTTACCTGCAAACTACCTCCCGGCAGCAGAACACATGAGTAGGGGGCAGGTACAGTCGGTGTACAGCCCCATGTCAGAGCGATCCCTTCTCATCTGCTGTATAGAGGAGCGCTCTAATGACAGGATGGGAGAGCGTAGCACGGCTCACAATCTGCCGGCTCTCTGCCGCTGTCATTGGTCCTGTCACCTTCACTACACTGTACCGCACTGCCCTCCGCTTCTCCCGGCCCTGAGTGCGGGGATGGGGAGAGGAGCTCATCAGCCGGGCACTGGGGGGGGGGGGGGGCACAACTGAATTCTGAGGGGGTGCAGCCCACCCCAGCACCCCCCTAGATCTGGCCATGATAAGAGAGTTAAAATCAGGCCTTTAATAATTAGTCTCCAGCCAGTCAAGGCTTCAATGAGCTTCGTTCCACTTTAAGTAATTATCAGTGTTAACAAATGAAAAGTAGCAGGTAGTCATCGCCTCCTGGACTCTACGCCTGGGTCCACACATGTGCGGTGCGATTTTCAGGCCCATTTTCTGAGTGAACTTCCAAAGTTGTTCAGCTGTTCATCTGTGATTTAGATGCGGTTCTGATGCAAATTGTGAAGTCTCCGTTTGTGATTTGTGTGTTCAGCTGGTTAAGGAACGGGCTGGCAAGCTGGCCGCCACATCCTTAACATCAGATGACTCGTGAGCTGACAGCTGAATGTAAACAAAGGAATTCCGGCATTAAAAAAAAATCTAGAATAAAACTGCCTGAGGGTCCCTCTTCCAATCCATACTAGGCCTTTTGGGTATGGTATGGATTTTAGGGAAACCCCATGCTACAATTAAAAAAACAAAATGGCATGAGGGTCCATCCCAAACTTCACACCAGACCCTTTTCGGAGCATGCAGCCTGGCAGGCCAGGAAAGGGGGTACATGAGCTAGCGTCCCCCCCATCCATAACCATACCAGGCCACATGACCTCAACATAGGAGGGTGCCCCCAAAGCACCTTGTTGCCATGTTGATAGGGACAAGGGTCTCTTCCCCACAACCCTGGCCAGTGGTCGTGGGTTTCTGTGGGCGGGGGGCTTATCAGAATCTGGCCCAGATGTGAATGAGTATGGGGTACATTTTACCCCTTCTTATATACCAAAAATTGTCAAAAGAAAAAAACCCCCACAAAGACAGTTTTTAACCTTTATTAACCTCCCTGGCGGTATGATTATTTGAGATTTTTGGTGCTGAAAGCGGTACCATTTTTTTGCATGGAAATATGTATTTTTTTTATTGTAGGCTGTAATTTTTAGGAAAAACTCACTGAAATCTGTCCGAACAAGAGTCTAGTAAACATCCCGGGTATGATAAAATTTGAAACACAAAATCATAAATTATAATTTAATAAATAATCATAAAAATAATATAAAAATAATAAAAAATGTAATTCAATAATATAATCAAACCAAAAACACTGAAATTTGAAATATAGCGCCAAGTTCGCACATTGCTGAGCTCAGTCGCAAAATCGTTTTCAGTGTCTGATGACGAATTTCCCCCACCAATCATTATCACTCAATTCTGCAAGTGGTTCTGATTTACTATCGCTGTTCTCTAGCTGATCTAAACCGCTTTTGACCTAAAGGGACACTTTTTGGACGCCATGGACATTTCTCAGTTTCCAGGCAGAAAGAACAGACAAAATGCAGGCAGGGCGCCGGACAAAGCACTCGGGACAAAATGTATGTGAAATTGGTTGAGACAGCAATGTTTTACTATGTAAAATGTAAAAAAAAAATAAAATGACATTTTTTAAAATTTTTAAATTTCCCGCCGCCGCCGGCGGCGGCGCCCGTACGTCGCGACGTCACAGGGACAGGACACAGAAGCCGGATGCCGGCATCGGCCGGAGGAGATGGCCGGGGACGCTGCAGGGGACACATCGCGGAGCGCAGGGTAAGGTAAGGGAAGAACACATGCCGGAGCAGTGCCGCAGGGTAAGCCCGAGTGTAGCTCGGGGTTACCGCTTTTGGTACTGAAATGTTACCCCGAGCTACA